GGTCACGGAGTGCGAAGATCCAGAACAACTCGCGGAAGCGCCACAGCTCGACGACGTCGATGGCGCGCCAACCTTTCGAGGGACGCAGGTAGCGGACGCCGGCGGACAAAGGAGCCGGCTGAGGCGCAGCACGGCGTGTCTCGCATTCGAGATGGGAAATCGCGGCGGCGGGTTGGACGCTCGGCGGCGTTGCGGTACTCACGTTCTACTTCGAAGATTGTTAGTCAGGGCTTCTAAAGACCCGCGACGGCCTACTGATCCGTGCCTGGGAATACGTCATCGATGGGCGGCAGCTCGCCTGGAGCTTCTGGCAAAGTCTGGCCGACGTCTTCCGTCGAGCAATGGCGGCTCTCGATCGCTCGCGGGAGACGGTCTTCAAGGCGGCGAGAGGCGCCGGCGCGACGATGACCGTTGCCAGTCACTTCTCTAAGGAAAGAAGTGAGATGCTCAACAAAGGCGTCGTTCGAGAATTGTTCCGCTCTGCGACGCGTCGCGATCCGATCAATCTCGTTGAGAGGCCCCTGTGACTCGAATCGCTCGATTGCTTCCAGTAGCGAGTCGGCGGATTGCTCGTCATAGAATATTCCAGCCTTACCTTCTTCGAGCGACTCGGTGACGCCGCCCTTGCGAAACGCGATCACCGGCGTGCCGCACGCCATGGCCTCGACCGGGGCGATCCCGAAGTCTTCTTCCGCAGCAAACACAAAGGCCCGCGCCCGTTGCAAGTGACGAACAAGCGACGCCTTACCAAGCTGACCGCGGAGGACAACGTTTGATCCTGCCAAGCGTTCGAGTCGCCGTCGCTCGGGGCCGTCGCCGACGACGATCAGCTTACGGTCGGGGGTGCGATTGAACGCCTCGATAATGACGTCGATCCTTTTGTAGCCGACAAGTCGGCTGGCGGTGAGATAATAATCGTCGCGAACATCGACGGAGGGAACAAATGTATCGACATCCACCGGTGGGTGGATCACCACCGCTTCACGTCGGTAGAACTTACTAATGCGGCGGGCGACGAATCGACTGTTCGCCAAAAAATGGTCGACGCCGAGCGCCGTCCGCACGTCCCAGTTTCGCAAGTAATGGAGGATGGTCCGTGCGAGAATCCCTTGGGGGCCGAAGCCGAGACCGGCTTCGCGGAGGTACTGGTGCTGCAAGTCCCAGGCGTACCGCGCGGGACTGTGACAATAGCAAACGTGCGTCTGGTCGGGCCCGGTGATCACCCCTTTGGCAGCCAAGTACGAGCTGGAAATCACGAGGTCGTAGTCCGATACGTCGAGCTGCTCGATAGCGAGCGGCATCAACGGCAGGTACGCCCGGTGCTTGATCCGAGCCAACGGCATTCGCTGCAGGAACGTCGTGCTCACAGGCTTGCTACAGAGAAAGCCACGACTCTCGTTGGGAACAAAATCGAATAGCCCGAAGACATCGCATTGTGGAACGACACGGATGATTTGTTCGACGACACGTTCAGCGCCGGCGTAGGTGTAGAAGAAGTCATGGACAACTGCCACACGTAGGTCGCTGAACTCACCGCGGGGCTGCGCCGCGATTGCGTGGCATGGAGGCTCTTCCATACGCTGGATTCGGCGAAGCGCAGCGCAGCCACTGTCGGACATCAGCCGTGAGAAGAGCGCCAGACGCTCGCTGGCCGATTCTAGTGAGGAGCCGACCGGCACTCGAACTTCAGCAAAGTTGGTCACTTCCGCGTCGGTGCAAATAGGAAGCTTGGCGTCGATCGACCGACCGACATCCTCCATCTCGCCGTCGCCTTCGGCGTTCACCCATCGGAAGGTCATTGGTTCGCCGTTCATGGCCTTGGCAATCGGCATTTCAATGCGGGCGAAGCGCAGTTGCTCGGCGGCGTCGCAAACGGTCTGCCACCACTCGCTGAAAGTCTTGGCGCTATCGAACTCGAGCTGTAAGGCTTCGCAGGCGTTGCGGTGACGTCGAGAGTCACGGTCAATCTCTCGTTTGCTGCGGATTGCGGAGATCATCTGTGTCGTCCGCACCGAGCCAGCCGCGTGGAACAGCCCCCACAGCAGAGGAACCACCAGCGCCAGCCCACCGAGGGTCGACCATCCCACGAGCGGCAGCGAGCAGACCCCGATAGCGACGGCCATGGCTGACACGGCATGGATCAACAGCACGGCTTGGCGTGGGTGTAGACCACGATCTAGCAGTCGGTGATGGATGTGGCCTCGCTCAGCGGTGAACAATGAGCGGCGCTGTTCGTACCTCCGGCGAAACAGCGTGAGAGCGGTATCGACGAGCGCGACGCTCATCGCCAGGCTCGGAACAACCATCGCACGCATCGTGCCTGGTCTTGGCTCGGCGTTAGCGGCAATTGTCATCGCGCCGATCAGATAACCGATGGTGAGACTCCCGCCATCGCCCATGAAGGTACGCGCCGGCGGTCGGTTGAAATGGAGGAAACCGGCTATCGCCCCCGCCATCACCAAGGGCGCAACGGCCGCGGCATAGTGGTGGGCGTCGAGCTGAAAGTAGGCCAGCACCCCAAACGCCATCAACGCCAACCCGCCCGATAGTCCGTCGAGCCCATCGATGAAGTTGAACGCAACAGCCATACCGGTGATCCAAGCCGCCGTGAGGATCCACGACAGCCACGGAAAGCGGATGGCGGCTTGGAAGTCATAGACCACCTCACCAAGCCCGGCGCCCGAAGCGCAGAACACGCACGACGCCGCCAGCAAGGTGATCAGCTTAAGCCGTGATGAGACTTCCCAAAGATCGTCTAGCACGCCCATAACAAAGACGAACAAGGCCCCAATAGCGAGGGCCGAGTAGTGCTTCAACTCAACCCACCCCCCTTCAGTCGAGGGATCCACCAAGCAGGCGAACAGGGGCACGCCCACTAACAGTGCGGCGCCGATGATCCCTACGCCACCAAGACGCGGCGTCGCTTGGCGATGTACCTTGCGGTGGTCGGGCTGGTCATAGAGTCGAAGTCGGTGCGAGACAGAGATCACGTAGGCGGTTAGCGCTAGGGATACGGCGCACGCCGCCACCGCGCCGATCAAAGGGATCCAGATCATCGCCGCTGCCTCCGACTCGAGGACGCCGGCGAAACATCGATATCACCTTCCTGCAATCGAATTCCCCGTAGCGGGGCGCCGCCTTCATCCGTGTTCGAATGCTCACACATGGAGTTCATCCGCAAGACGGGAAGTTAGTCGTGGCGGGTGGATGGCTCGGCGCGACGATGCCTTACACGGCGCGCTTCGCTGGCGGGGGCTGGCCGGAGCGATTACGTCGGGACTCTTCGTCGTTAAGACGTAAATTGCAGCATAGACACGCGTCCAACGAGAGCAACGCTGTGGGACGAATCATGAAGAGGTTATTCACAATGAGTCTGCGGATAGGCGTGAGCGGCCCGGATTATCGGACTTTTTGGACGCAGTTTGGCACGCATCACAGGCAACCTCGCGCTGGAACTGCCTCAAAATCGGGCGCCTCAGCCCTATTTATTGCTATTGCCACTCGGGGCAGGATCCCTAGTAGGCATTCGCCCGCATCGGCAGCGGGTCATTACCGTCAAGAGCGTCGCAACTCATGCCATCGTCA